TTTGTTAAATACATCACCCACAACCCTTCAAGATTGTTTATGTAAATAAATAATGAACTAATAGCAGACATTTTAGTAAGAATGATTTTAATGACAATTCTGCAAGACAGATGGAAGTGGCTGTTGGAGTCATTCAATTTGTACAAGTTCGACACTGAAGAAGGAAAGAAAAACAAGGTAAAGGAAGAAATAATTAAAATATAAAGAAATCTATATGAGAAAGGAAACTAGAGAAATATATAAAACAAAGCTAGGAAACAGAAAGAAAGATTAATAAGTTAGAGACGAAAATAATTTAGCGTAAATATAAAAAAATAAACTGATCCAGGAAGAATTAAAGAACATAGTAAAGATTGCTGCCTGCTGGGTTGTAGGGCAGCAAGGACCTCTGAAACGTCGGTAAGCTTCTAAGCCCAAATCCAACACAGTCAAGTTTTAACGAATCAGCAGCAGAAAGGTAAACTGATGTAATAGAGGCAACTGATACACATGGGGCAACGAAACTCGCAACTTTCACTGTCTCCGAGACTCATACCGCACTTTCACGGGCCTGAATACTGAAAAGAGAAAGTGTATTGCGCATCTGGTTAGGCTACAACACCGCGGATAGGTCAGCGCAAATGTCAGTAGCGTTTTGAAAGGCCATCTTCATTTACGACTCTGAATGATGGTATGTTACATTCTACTTAAATGCAACAGCGTGGAGGAAAGTCCTTGAGAAGCTAGTAGTTACTGAGTTAGTCAAGAAATTTCCGGCTTTATACGGAGTCGTAAGATTTATTACATGAGATCACAATTGGTCCTTATACTGAGTCACATTAATCCAATTAAAAATCCTGTAGTTTTCATAAATTTTGATATTTACTTGTTCATGTGGACAGGAAGACCGAAGATTCTAAATTGCACGGTAGCAAACGTTCCCCCAAAATGGATATTCTTGTGAATGGAACTTACCAAATTTGCGAAAGACTCGTTAACAACTTGCGTACTGCAAAATGATTCCGTACTGCATTCTGATTACAAGATGTAACTTAGATTTATCTGTGTTCACTTCAAAACCAACTTCCTTATAAGGATATAACAGGCTTTCAGTGTCTTATTTTTTGGTAGTTTGGTTGTCCCGGAATAAATTGTCATTAGCAGCGCAGACAAAGGTTGACGTGTCTAAACAAGTACAAATCTCTTTGTTTCATTTGAGCATCCTGATGGCGCATTCTAAAGCAAAGTTAAAAAGCTTTTTAAAACCATCCTGAACAGAAAATGCATCAATTGTTTACCTGGATAAAATTAAGAGTTTTCATCTTTCCGACTGAGAAAGAAATTATTTTCCCGGCGGTGTCCGAATTTATAACTTGTGTTTGGCAAGGCCGTGGTCTAGGCAACACGGAGTTTTCCTCCGGGGGCTTCCCCGGTTTCTCTGTGGCATCCCAACAATTACTCCATTCACACACAGAAGAAGGCAATGGCAAACCACTTTTGGATCATCTGCCAAGAACGTATATGAACAGGTCCCAGTCCGAGAAAAGGATGGAAGGATCCTGTTCATATGGACCTGTCGTCAGACAGAACACTAAATAAATAAAATAATGCATGTACCAGTCTTAAAGTCATCATTATCATCGCAGTGTACGTTTATACTTCCATGTCATCTGTTTTTACACACCTCTTCATTATATGTTCCAAGTGTCCACAACCAGGCATACGCCTTTTCTGTCTTCGTTAATCTGTGTTCGATAAATGCTTTTAAAATTTTCATATCTGCCCATTTAATTCTGTTTACACTTTCGACATACGTGTTCACTTAAATGCCTAATTCTTTCAGCAATGTTTCTGTTCACAATAAAAATACCTTTATTATTCGCTTATATGAATAAATTTGAATGTTTCATTTACTAAATGTTTAAATGCCATATTTTGTTCTATTTGCTTTTTATCTAATGTAGTCTTATATCTCAGTAAATATTTCTTTTGTGACAAGTACTTTCAGATTATTAACATAAATTTAAACAGTATCAGCTTGTTTAATTAGGAATCAGAAATACGATTACAGAAAAAAAAACAGCGGACAAAGATCCATATGGAATCAAATTACACAGTTGAAAATATACATCGTTCAAGGAGCATCGAGTCCAGAAATTAATTTTCTTTGAAGAAGTTTGGAAACTGATCAATGAAAACTTATATTTTATTACCGAGAAGAGTACATGAGTTTTACTGTTGAGATGAAAATTGTTAGTTCAATCTCCAATTAGGACTGTATATTCTCATATAACTAGAATAATGAAGCACTCAAAGTACGGTATATGAAATTATAAACATTTTTCATACTGTCCCACAAATTAGAGAAGAATGTGAATCCATTAATCCGCTTAGGTTCTAAGTAAACTCGTTTCTGACAGAAAAAATTCTGCGTCCTTCTCTGACATTGAAACCTGAAGTACCTGCAGGCGGAATGCAACTTACACCATGGGAAAATGACGACCAGAATCTTAAGATGGCTGTCTTCTGGGCTGTTGCGACGTGTAGTCTAGTCGATGTTTACCAACGTTTCGGAGGTCCTTACTGCCTCCATCATCAGGGCGATGAGTATGAAGATTTCCGTCTTCTGGGTTGTTGCGCTGTGTAGTCTGGTCGATGTTTACCAACGTTTCGGAGGTCCTTACTGCCTCCATCATCAGGGCGATGAGTATGAAGATTTCCGTCTTCTGGGTTGTTGCGCTGTGTAGTCTGGTCGATGTTTACCAACGTTTCGGAGGTCCTTACTGCCTCCATCATCAGGGCGATGAGTATGAAGATTTCCGTCTTCTGGGTTGTTGCGCTGTGTAGTCTGGTCGATGTTTACCAACGTTTCGGAGGTCCTTACTGCCTCCATCATCAGGGCGATCGGCCTACAGAAGACAGAAATCCTCATACTGACCGCCGTGAAAAATCGAAATCCAACTGAAGATAATCATAACAGTGCGAATAACCTTAGTAATTCATCGTAAGAAAGCAGTCTGTTAGTAACATTGGTGAAGCACTCACCTTCCGGTTTTTTAATGCCTTGGAGAATAACAGATGTAATTTATAAAAAAAAAAGACTCGATGAACAGTCTCGAGTTAGTCACTTTAAACATTTCTGCCTGTTTACAACGCAACAAAGTGGTGAAAGCTGTGTCTGAATACCGACTTCTGTGCCATGCACTGTCGCTCTGTCTAACTGAATAAAAACAGCATGAAATATTATCTGAGTCCGTGATTGAGGAACAACATACAAGAGTCGATTTTCTTTATTTTTTTTTCCTTTCCAAGATCAGTTTCTAAAACTGCGCTCGAAGGAAAATACTGCATTCCAAAAATATCATACCTTTCTAGGGACTTCGGTTTTTGGCTATTATCCAATTACGACACGAAGGCATCTCCAAGCATTTGAAGAATAATTGTGGAAGATCCTTTCGACCTATAACTCTACAGCAGAATGCTTTCCTCTGATGGACTCACAGAGTTTTAAACGATTGACGAAAAAGGAATTCTTGAGGTTTATAAGTGCATTTGGGTCTCCGACACTGACGAAGATGACGATATCGTAATCAAGCCTCATCAGAGGAACACGGAATTTACATTAGAAATGATTAAAACCTTGCGAAATTAATCACCGTTCATTCATCTACATGAGTTACTTTTGCAGTTTCAACCTCTCTCCGCTCTGGTAATGGTGGACTAATTATGTATTCGTTGCATCTGTCATAGTACGAACATCTTACAAATTTAATACAACAAAAGATGTGCTCTAACTGTGAACTTTAGCGCCAGATAATTGCAATTATAAGAGCCTAACACACACGAAAAATGAGAAGTAAGGCAGGGGAGGGATAGGATGTTGATTGGAAAGTTTTCTGGCAGCCTCTACGACTCCGTTCACAGCGGACACTCAGTCCGTTTAGTGTAGTCATGCTGCAGACAACGTGCTCAGTGCTGCTCCTCGCGGCCGTCACTGCTATCAACACAGCAAGTAAGTTTTATTTCGATTTGTATTTTATCCACTTGTTAATGAAGTACATAGATGGTTCTTGTTCATCAAAATTACGGATAAATGTAATATTGAAGGAGGAAACTGTATTAAATAGAATGTTATTCCGTGTTTTTATTGATTTTAATTTAGTCTCAGACGATAATCTGTGCACTTTCTGTACGATAATAAAATTTCGTTCTTCCGTCAATAATTTTGAATGAGGATTCAAAAAGTTTGTGATTTGGGAAACTGGCAATAATGAAATCACGATGGTTTATGGTTGTCTACTTTTGCATATTTTTGTCTAATTTTCTTGTTTAATCTCTGGATAAGTTTTTTTTACAAGATTATCTAACAGAATAATTTATAAAAAAATACATTAACTTCCGCAATAAAAATAAAATACTTTTTTGGGATACCAACAGTCGCTAAACTGATCAAGAAATTCCTGGCCTTTTATAGAATATGAGAGTTCGTATCGTACTCTCAAAATCGCATACAAAAATTGTATCAGAGCCACCAACAAGAATAAAATTAAAAGTAGACTCTGAAAATTACGTTGCTTACACGGTTAATGATATATAATGGTACAATTTGCGAATTTATACGTAATCCCTGGAGATTTGCATCGGAACATTTGTAATAATTTAGTGAGTACTTTTCCATGAAGTATCTATTCCACATCTGTAAATGTGCAGGCATCTTCTCCTTGGAAAACTGATGGCATGTGTAAAGTTACATACTTTTTTATAGTTAACTTTATGACAAAATATTTGAAGTGTGAAATTAGTTGAGAATTGTTGTTTTGGGAGCAATAGCTTCTATGTTAAATTAGGGTTTATAATATTTATTAGGATTCAAATAAGAATTAAGAAATCACATATCCTAAGTCTACACCTGCTGGCTCTTAAAATGTTAGGACAAATCTGCAATTTTTTTGCAGGGCTACTCAAATATAAGAATTTATTCTTGGCAATCTTATAATTAGAAGTGCTTCATACTGTTTATTCTAAATTTCTAATTTTATAATAGTTAAATGAAGTATAGATAACTGTCGCAATGGAATTGTAAAACCTTCACTGACTTATACTAAAGTGAATGGAAAGGTATTTGTGAAGCTGGCATCTATGGGTAAAGCACACAGTGACTAAAAAAGGCATAAGATGAATTGTTGCTGTTAATTTATGGCGGTTTGGTATGACTTTATTTTATTATAGTGGCATGGATCGAAATGTGAAATCAATAGTTTACAATTTTTTAATTAATTTAAAAATCTCGGTTATTTCTTGTATATTCCGCCAACGTCTAATAAAGTTTTGATTCTTTGCTTGCATTATTTACAAATAATTCCTATTAATTTGTTTAAATTATATAATACAATTCAGGTCAATACACAAAACTTTATTTAGATGTTAAAATTTAAAATTTAAATGTTAAAATTTAAAATTTTAAATTTGCGCCATTCATCACTATAAGGATGTTACAATAGAGAATTGTATTATATAATTTAATCAAAAAACACAAACATGACGCATGTAAACCTTAAAAATATTAATTTGTATTATTACTAACTTGTTTTTGGCCTGTGAGTTCAGTAAAAAACTGAGTAACTTTCCAGTTTACAAATTTAGTAAAAATCTGTGAGATATACAAGGTGGAAAGTCATTCTAATTACAGAATATCACATGATTTTCAGTACCGTTAGCTTAGAAATAGGAAATGTAAGAAATGCCAAGGCTGGTGTTACCTCAGAAACAGACTCGTTCTTTCGAAACCAGTAGCGTTAACGGTACGACTATTACACGTGTCCGAAGGAGTGTCTGAATAAATTTCAGTGTCTCTTTAACATGAGTGTTATGCAGATAATTTAAACGATCACAAAAAATAACGCACTATCAAAGCCTTTCAAACGCTCCACAGTTTCTGTTCTGTCAAAATCTTTTAACAACGCAGAAGTTAAGAACTTCGTAAGAAAGTTGTGTCAGTATAAAGTATATCACCAATTCAGTTTTCATTTCCTAATGTCAATATCATCATGTCGGTCGTATAAACAAGCTCCAATTAATTTTAAGACTTTTCATAACATTTCGGGACCCCGTCTACTTAATAGTTTCAGTTACACCAAGAGAACATTGGGTAGATGTTTACCAACGTTTTAGAGGTCATACTGCCTCTATCATCAGGGCGATGAGCATGAAGATTTCTGTCTTCTGGGTTATTGCGCTGTGTAGTCTGGTCGATGTTTACCAACGTTTTAGAGGTCATACTGCCTCTATCATCAGGGCGATGAGCATGAAGATTTCTGTCTTCTGGGTTATTGCGCTGTGTAGTCTGGTCGATGTTTACCAACGTTTTAGAGGTCATACTGCCTCTATCATCAGGGCGATGAGCATGAAGATTTCTGTCTTCTGGGTTATTGCGCTGTGTAGTCTGGTCGATGTTTACCAACGTTTTAGAGGTCATACTGCCTCTATCATCAGGGCGATGAGCATGAAGATTTCTGTCTTCTGGGTTATTGCGCTGTGTAGTCTGGTCGATGTTTACCAACGTTTTAGAGGTCATACTGCCTCTATCATCAGGGCGATGAGCATGAAGATTTCTGTCTTCTGGGTTATTGCGCTGTGTAGTCTGGTCGATGTTTACCAACGTTTTAGAGGTCATACTGCCTCTATCATCAGGGCGATGAGCATGAAGATTTCTGTCTTCTGGGTTATTGCGCTGTGTAGTCTGGTCGATGTTTACCAACGTTTTAGAGGTCATACTGCCTCTATCATCAGGGCGATGAGCATGAAGATTTCTGTCTTCTGGGTTATTGCGCTGTGTAGTCTGGTCGATGTTTACCAACGTTTTAGAGGTCATACTGCCTCTATCATCAGGGCGATGAGCATGAAGATTTCTGTCTTCTGGGTTATTGCGCTGTGTAGTCTGGTCGATGTTTACCAACGTTTTAGAGGTCATACTGCCTCTATCATCAGGGCGATGAGCATGAAGATTTCTGTCTTCTGGGTTATTGCGCTGTGTAGTCTGGTCGATGTTTACCAACGTTTTAGAGGTCATACTGCCTCTATCATCAGGGCGATGAGCATGAAGATTTCTGTCTTCTGGGTTATTGCGCTGTGTAGTCTGGTCGATGTTTACCAACGTTTTAGAGGTCATACTGCCTCTATCATCAGGGCGATGAGCATGAAGATTTCTGTCTTCTGGGTTATTGCGCTGTGTAGTCTGGTCGATGTTTACCAACGTTTTAGAGGTCATACTGCCTCTATCATCAGGGCGATGAGCATGAAGATTTCTGTCTTCTGGGTTATTGCGCTGTGTAGTCTGGTCGATGTTTACCAACGTTTTAGAGGTCATACTGCCTCTATCATCAGGGCGATGAGCATGAAGATTTCTGTCTTCTGGGTTATTGCGCTGTGTAGTCTGGTCGATGTTTACCAACGTTTTAGAGGTCATACTGCCTCTATCATCAGGGCGATGAGCATGAAGATTTCTGTCTTCTGGGTTATTGCGCTGTGTAGTCTGGTCGATGTTTACCAACGTTTTAGAGGTCATACTGCCTCTATCATCAGGGCGATGAGCATGAAGATTTCTGTCTTCTGGGTTATTGCGCTGTGTAGTCTGGTCGATGTTTACCAACGTTTTAGAGGTCATACTGCCTCTATCATCAGGGCGATGAGCATGAAGATTTCTGTCTTCTGGGTTATTGCGCTGTGTAGTCTGGTCGATGTTTACCAACGTTTTAGAGGTCATACTGCCTCTATCATCAGGGCGATGAGCATGAAGATTTCTGTCTTCTGGGTTATTGCGCTGTGTAGTCTGGTCGATGTTTACCAACGTTTTAGAGGTCATACTGCCTCTATCATCAGGGCGATGAGCATGAAGATTTCTGTCTTCTGGGTTATTGCGCTGTGTAGTCTGGTCGATGTTTACCAACGTTTTAGAGGTCATACTGCCTCTATCATCAGGGCGATGAGCATGAAGATTTCTGTCTTCTGGGTTATTGCGCTGTGTAGTCTGGTCGATGTTTACCAACGTTTTAGAGGTCATACTGCCTCTATCATCAGGGCGATGAGCATGAAGATTTCTGTCTTCTGGGTTATTGCGCTGTGTAGTCTGGTCGATGTTTACCAACGTTTTAGAGGTCATACTGCCTCTATCATCAGGGCGATGAGCATGAAGATTTCTGTCTTCTGGGTTATTGCGCTGTGTAGTCTGGTCGATGTTTACCAACGTTTTAGAGGTCATACTGCCTCTATCATCAGGGCGATGAGCATGAAGATTTCTGTCTTCTGGGTTATTGCGCTGTGTAGTCTGGTCGATGTTTACCAACGTTTTAGAGGTCATACTGCCTCTATCATCAGGGCGATGAGCATGAAGATTTCTGTCTTCTGGGTTATTGCGCTGTGTAGTCTGGTCGATGTTTACCAACGTTTTAGAGGTCATACTGCCTCTATCATCAGGGCGATGAGCATGAAGATTTCTGTCTTCTGGGTTATTGCGCTGTGTAGTCTGGTCGATGTTTACCAACGTTTTAGAGGTCATACTGCCTCTATCATCAGGGCGATGAGCATGAAGATTTCTGTCTTCTGGGTTATTGCGCTGTGTAGTCTGGTCGATGTTTAGCAACGTTTCAGAGGTCATACTGCCTCCGTCATCAGGGCGATTCATCGCTCATTCAAGGATTTTCCAATGCCAGAGACTGTAACCGCCGTGGAAAATGTTGAGGAAGAAAGTGACTTAGAACGTATGTTCTTACCAACAACAGGAGAGACGGAAGAGTTGACCTCTCACTCCTCCAGTCGTGGTAGTCTAGCGTTGAGGAAATTGTAGGCTGGCTAGAAAATTCCTCAGAAAACGAACTCAACAGATTCCAATCACCATCCTTATTTACGACACTAGTCACCAAGAAAAATTCTTCATCAGCAAATTCATTGGCTTGTTTATCAACATGCGGGTAATCGATGGTACTGTGGACGAACATTAACTGAATCTAACGCATTTTTAAGCTTGTATTTAGGACGGTATTGCCACTTTTAAGTTGGGCGATGTCTTCATTAAGTTTAACTGCATACACAATTCGTTTCATAAAGTCTATTGTGCAGACCCCATTATGATGTCATGTCTCGAGTTGGACTCTCAGCCACTAATATCTGCCACTGTGGAAAACAGGCGGCAAAACTCATTCATTATCTCTCATAAGACAACATTTTTTTCGGATTTTCATCGACGTGTCATAATTTTTCGGCACCCTCACGTGTCTCGAGTCAGAATCGGAGAAGTACCTACAAATCCACGCAGAAAACAAATTCACATACTTTACATACTAATAGAACTCAATACTTGGTCCTGTGTTAATGACTACTCAGGACATATGGTGGGGGTCATGTGATCACGCAAATGAAATTTCGGAAAATTTCTCGACTAACTCGGTTTCTCAAGATGAACTGAGCTCCTTCAGTGAGTTTCTTACACAATCACATACAGTAATTGTTCATGACAGAAGTGAACGGCTTAATTAAATTATTCTCTGACAGGTATTCTCCAGAAGAATAACTTTTCATGTCAGCAAAAACGTAATTTTCATAAATTCTTGTTCTGTCTTACAGCGAAGGTGCGGAAAGTCATAACAAAACTCATGAGCAAATTTGGACCTTGAATTACAAATCTTTTGCTACCGGATGTAGATACTTGTTGCACAACTGTTGGTTCTTGTTCTTGAAGTGAAAGTGTTTCGCCCGCCCACCCAACTCCATTCACAGGAATTCCACGAACCAACGCGCAGAAGTGCCACATGTCAACCAATCACTGAAATTTATATAATTACTCTTCTATGTCTGACATGCGTCTTCTCAATTCAGTGGGGGAAACATTTGTACTTATTTAAAAGCAGAAGGCAGTTTCTCAAAACTGCCAATGGTGGTTTTTTGGGCCGTGAAACCGCGTAGATTTTTAGGGGCAAAGACTTCTGACAGAAAATACTGTTTCCCTGAACAGAAACGTTATAACTCAGAAGGCCAATCACCGAAATTTTCACCGCCGAGTAAACCTTAATCTTTTGTCAGTGATGAATTTCATTCAGTGGCACTGCAGTCCATTTTGTAAATACAGTGAATTTCTGTCTAAATTATTTCTCCATGCAATTAGTTAACAAATTGTAGGCCTATTTGAATGTCAAGGGTACAATACCATACCAAGTATCCTGGAAGGATTTTTGATTGATTTTCTTACTTCCATACATTACAGCTCTCTGAAATTACGATGACCGCTTTCTTCGCTGTTAGGCAATTGATTAATTAACTCCATAGAACACAGTTTATGCAATTAACAGTAATTAATACAGTCTCTGCGTTCTATGTAACTCGAAAGTTAATTAACGTGCTCAGAAGAGACTTCTATAAGACCCTATTCTGACTCAGTTGAATCCAGTTTACATAGTTAAATCCTAATTAATTTAAATATATTTTAATATTATCGTACTACCAAAATACAAGTGTCACAAATGGTCTTCCGCGAAAAATGTTCGGACAAATAATTAGTATTTCTCATCTAACCATGCGTGCTATATTCACAGGCAATCACATCCTCCCTGTTAACACACTGAAAAATAAGTGATAATTATGAAACGTATTACTTTGTAATTTACACTTTAAACTGGATTAAATATTAACGTATATATTTACGTACTCGTCATGAACATACTCCCTTTGCCTTAATCCAATTATTTTTACATTATTAATTGGCTTTGGAAACCGATGTAAATAAAAAAACAGATTCACTTTTTTGTCAGTGTATCGCCAGGAAAGTACTGTCTGTCTGAGCGGAGAATTGACTCGGCTTTGAAGCCCTGATGACATGTTAAATGCTATCCGAGAACACTAAACCATTCAAAAAATGTTTCTACTGTTAAAGCAATCTGCATTTTTAAAACTGTGGATGCGTTACTAATGACTTGACTAATGTTTTAAATTCTATATAAAACAAGAATGTACCTCACACATGTCGCAAAGTAGCCGACGTGGAAGTGTGACTATATCACACACGTAAGCTTCAGCAGTTGAATAATACAGGAAGCAAGGTTATATAATGTTACAAGACAGTCGCTGAAATTCTATTGACTGCTCAAACGAGTTCTGAGCCGATCCCAAACACAGAGCAACACTTTCACTTCCGGTATGATTCGGGCTTACTCGGAAATGCTTTATTCACGAATACTTTAGGTCGATCAGCTTCGCTTAACGATCTCTCTACAGTTACTTGATATCTGTGATGAGTAATATAAGGCTTTACTCCCTTAAAATGTTGGGTGTGATCTCTACAAATAACGAAGCTGTAATTATCATTGATTGACAGAACTAATAAATTATTTATCTGTTCAGAAAGTGGCTTTTTCGCAGTATTGGAAAGTGAACAATTAATTAAATATGGTAGTCCCTGAAGCATTTACAGGTAAAATTACTTATAACAATTTTTAAATAACCGCCTCATCACCTAATGTGTTTTAAGTTGCCGTCTTACAGTTTCCCCACTAAAACTCTGCAAGCATTTATTAACACCACCCAAGTTAAATGCTGAGCATAGTGTAACCTTTCATTAATGTATTAATTCCCAAATTGAAAGGAATTCAAACAATTTCAAACATAATGTTCTCTCAGGTCATTTACTATTGAAGATAAAATATACCTAAAAAATATATAATTAAATATTTTAAATGTTAATTATTGTAATATTTTAATATTTAATAAGAATTTATTGTGATTAGACGGACAAGATTTAAATAATATATATCTAAAACATATAGTTATCTGAATCGAATTAATTTAATGAGACAGGTGATGATGTATTTTTCTCACAGTACAGGAAATGTTCGGTCTGAGGTATGAAAGAGTACAACGTAGACCAGTTTTCACTTGAAGCCAACTAAAATATTTTGTTTTATAAACTGGAAAACTAGATTCACTGAGATAAGTACGGATTTAAGCTTTGTACTCCAGTCACGATAACCTCTCCTTACAAAGGGTCCGGCAACCAATCAAAATCAATCTTCAATGGATTTCATACCAATTTCGAAACAGGATTATCCAAGGTAACATCTGGAAACTGGTACATGGATTCTTTAACACAGCGATGACGAAATGTTCGTGGCCTGAATTCGACACCTTAAAAGCTCAATTTTCGTCACACAAGTTCTGATTACCTCCTAGTGGGCAATGATGCCTACGTTTTTTCCCCTGCAGTTTCATATTGAGGCTGATTACAAAGTACAAGGCACGCCAGTGAAAGCTGAGATGTTTCGTGTGTGAAAGTATAATAAAATCCCTTTTTCTTTTCTGACCTTCAAGAAAATTTCCACTTCATGCTTGATTTTGTTGACTAGACTCAACATACTTCCTTCCGACAGCCAGCAGACTCCCGAGTGAAAAAATATGGTTTTGTCATAGCGCCCAAATCAGAAAGAGCTACAGAATCTAATGATTTACAAAGGTCATATGGAAGGGTCAAGGCTTCTCTGAAGATGATACAAAACTTCTCAGTTACGGATAGATCAGTTTATACCAGTGTCGTACATCCAGAGGGAGAAACAAGGATTGCTGGGATACCGTCAGTGTATGTTCCAACTCCCTTTTCCCAACACAGACCATTTCCTCAAGACGTCAACATATATACAGGGTGATTCAAAAGTTAGGGCCAAACTGAAGGAGCGTATAGAGGGACTCGGAGAGAACAACTTTCGAATAGGAATCCATGTCCTCCGAAGTTATCCTGAGTCAGTCAAGGTCATTGAAGGTAGAGAAGTCTGGTAACATATCGCTGAAATAATTGTACTTTGCTATTCTCCTACTAGCTTAATTTTGTTTTTTTATTAATGTAAAATGATTAAATTAGAGAATAGCAATGTACGGTTATTTCAGCGGTATGTTACCTTCAATGGCCTCGACTAACTCAGGATTACTTCGGAGGACATGGATTCCTATTCGAAAGTTGTTCTCTCTGAGTCCCTCTATACGTTCCTTCAATTTGGCCCTAACCTTTTGAATCACCCTGTATAATTTGAAGCTTTCGCGGCGACGTAACTCAATAAAATTTTCTCGGGTGATCAGCCGCGTCAGATGATTAAACGATGTAACCGACGTTTCAGGGACCATCTCTGTCCCCTTCATCAGGGTTCTGAGGACGAAACTAATGCCAATGTTACCACTGCTTTATGATAACAAAGGAGTTACCTTTACACGCTTTGGTCACCTTTTAGTTGAAATAAAATAGAATTTGAAGGATCAACATTTTGTTGACAGGTGGTGCATTCAACTGCCCGCAAAAGTACGGCCAGTTCGAGGACCCGAAACAGTGCGATAAGTTCTACGAATGCGACGAAGGGATTGCTAAGGAGAAGCTGTGTCCTGATGGTCTTATGTTCGATCCCCTCAACAGGAAGATCAACAAGTGCGACCAACCTTTCAACGTGGACTGCGGTGACAGGATAGAGCTCCGTATGTATTGTATCTCTGCGACTGGAACTGGGCAGTGCCTGGCCTCATCTGTTTGTTCCCATGTCCGTCCGTTCGTCTGGTAACTCAGGGTTGGCCATGGACGTTCTGTGATTGGGGTGTACTTTATAGATCGTACTTTTCAGTCAGTAATACCAAAACAGCCGACATGGTCACGGTAGTTCAGGCTAATTCACGTTGAGTTAAGCTAACATAGGTTAGTCAAGTTTAGAGTGGGTTAACTTAAGTTAGAATGTTAGGCTGAGCAAGGCTAAGATACCTTAGGCTACATTAAACAATGGCAGAAACTGTAATTAACGTAACCGTGATAATCATAATAATCAAGATAAACATTGTAATCAGCATGTTAGTTAAAGTAGGCAAGGTAACAATTTTAACCAATGCATTTAGGATACCAAGATAGTCAAGACATTCATTTGGATTTTTGGATCTTACCCATCGTCTGATGTTATAAAATACTCAAAGTTTCCAGTACTGGATCGGTCCTCGTATTAAGGTTTGGTGAAATAGAAGTGCATCTAATGATGAGGGCAGATTCAGTGTTCGAAACGATGTGTACTTTGTAACATCAGACGATGGACAAGGTTAGGTTAGGTTGGGTTAGGTTAGGTTAGGTTGGGTTGGTTTGGATTGGGTTGGGTGGGTTGGTTTGGGTGGGGTTGGGTTGGGTTGGGTTGGGTTGGGTTGGGTTGGGTTGGGTTGGGTTGGGTTAGGTTAGGTTAGGTTAGGTTATGAAAGTCAAGGGTGGGTAAGGTTAGGTAGTTTGGACAAGGCTACTATAGGTTAGGCTCCATATTTAGAATCCAAATTTTGCACGTGGAAACTGTGTATATTCCGGTACGGTTTAAACCATTGCAGTCTTGTTACTTCTAGGATAATTATCCTAGGTCCGATTTTTTATAAAATTGCCATAACTTACTTTGATAAAACTATTAAATTCTTAATTTCGTTTTTAGAACCATAACAACGTTACAGCCAAGTTACGGTTAGGAGATTAAGAAAAAGAGGAAAGTACGAATACATTTTATTGTCTTGTCTTTCGGTGCATCAGGATATGTGGGGTTATAACTCAAATATATAAAATAATGGAAAGAATTTCAGCAATTACAGGATCTTTTGGTGAGAAATATACATGCGTAAGGATATATATAAGTTAAATAAATTAATAAAACCTTGATATCAGACCTACATCCGCAAAGAAGAATGCCAACTGACAGATGAAACAGGTGACAGCTGTAAGTATTGTCGGTGTTGCTTTGTTGCTCCAGAATCTCCGAAAGGGAATCAGCATTGTCCACGCAAGAATGGCTACTTCGCGCACCCCGACTCGTCCGTCTGTCACCTCTTCTACAACTGCATCGACGGCGAGTACACGGAGGTACCCTGCACACCGGGACTGCACTTCGACGAATACCAGGGCACGTGTGTGTGGCCGGAGTCATCAGGTCGGACGGGTTGTAGCAAAATCGAGAGTAAGTGTCGAAAAACGCGGTCAAAAACATCGCTTGCAGATCTTACTGGCATTTATTCCCTTCTTCCATTAATGATCCACCAATCACACGTTAACAAACGTTGTTTTGTATTGGCTATCGATCCTGGTTTGCGTTCTGATGATTCCAAGCTCAAATCTCGACCGAATATCGACCATATTTATTTTGGTTTCTGTATATTTCTTCAGACACTAGAAACAAATACTGGGAAAACACTTAAAATAGTCCCTGGAAACTTTCTTCAGTGGAATTTCAAATTCGTCGTTCACAAATCGTAATACACTTACTACCAATTAACGATTCTAGGTAATTTAAAAGCCTTTTTAAGCATTTATCATATTTATTTATTGCAGTCGTGTCAATCAGCTAATCATAAATTAAAAACTAACTCACTTCTCTTATCAAAACTTGTATTACTTGAATCACAACAACAGAATAATACTGGAATTGAAGAAAAGACATTTGTTCTTTTGGAAAAATTAAAGAAGGAAGTGATGAAAATGGACTACAGACATGCAACCGGCAAGAGATGCACATGAAATTTTGGTGATGGTTCATGTACAAAGACGGGTAATTAGATTCTCAGTAAGATTGGAGGTTAATAGATCTTAAGAAAGGTTGCCGTGAAGATGCAAATTGGACTGAAAACTTGCCATGAAAACTTCAAATCCTACTCGGGACTCTGGTTCTGTCGAACGCTAAGCTTTCTGGTTAAAGAAAATGGAATTCGAGTCTACTTTACCGTGTTTCAGATAAGCTGAAGGATGGGTTTGAGTGCCCGAAGGAGGCACAAGCTGACGCTAACGGACAGGCCGTGGCCCATCCCAAATTCGCACACCCCCAGGACTGCCAGAAGTTCTACGTTTGCCTTAACGGCGTCCAGCCACGCGAGCTTGGCTGCTCCTTGGGCGAAGTGTACAACGAGGAAGACCAGAAGTGCGACGCACCGGAAAACGTTCCGGGCTGGTGAGTGCCATCGCGACAGTAATTTGAAAGACACGATTTTTTTGGGAATTTACACTTAATTCCGATTTTACAAGGGAATATTATTTGCGAACTGAACTAATCAGTTTGTGCAGCTGCAAAAGACGATAAGAACTCAGTTATTAGAATCGCGCATGATTTGCAATTATATAAATTAAAATATTTAAGATTATATTTCAGGAACCAAGAGGTTCGACAAGGATAATATTAGTTAAGATTCTAATGCGTTTTCAATCACTTTCTACCCTCAGAACCTCTTCGTACGTTTAGTATAATGAGATGATAAAGTTGCGTCATATTGTGATAAATATATATTTGTTTAAATCTTGTCAGTCTAGTCACAACAAAATTCCTATTAAATATTAAAATATTACTATAATTAACATTTAAATATTTAAAATATTTAAAACATCATTTAATATATTTTAAATATTTAAATGTTAATTATAGTAATATTTTAATATTTAATAGGAGTTTTATTGTGACTAGACTGACAAGATTTAAACAAATATATGTTTAGTATAATCTTATTCTTCAACATTTTCTGATACGATGTTCCCCAAACGATTTCACCACCAAAATTCTGTATACATTCTTTTTATCTACCGTTTTAGCAACATATCCAGATGACCATATAGGCTGTTATTTACAGAAGCAGAATTTGACTTACAATTTCCCTAGAATAGCCTATAATACAATATTATTTAAAAAAATGGTGGAGTAGTGAAGTACAAATACGGCATAAATGAGCAGACTATACTCTGTTACATAAAAATAAAATATGTATTTTTTTTAAATTTATATGAAATTATGTGTAGTTGAACTACAGCGTATATAATAACGTGGAAGACGATTTAGACGGAACAGATGAAGACGGACGGCAGAGAACGGCGAGAAGTAATAAGCACATAGCGAGAACAGTAAGAAAATACTAAGAAAATGGTGGTTCGACGATTTACAGTTGTCAATACAGGCAAGAAATTTCCTGATATGTGAAGAATAGAAAATGCATTCAATCCTACTTTCAATCAGATGAAAGAAGTCTACCATCAGCTGATTAGACAGTTGTCTTCGACGTGTGCTTTGGGAAACTATGGGGAATTGCTGACGTCACAACCAGTCATCAGTAATTTGAATTAAATGTTATATTTCATTTAAATAAACTTATTCTGATTAAGCGCTCCTAATATTTCAGATGGATTTTATGTAGATATGGCTTATTTATCATTTTATTCTAATTGATTTCAGTGAGGATTGGTACAAAGACAACCCAGAAGTGAACAACAACAACAACAACAAAAACAAGAAACAGAGACGAAAGTAGAATCCTGGATAAAACTGTGATAACTGGCGAATTGTGAACAATATAAAAGCCAGGACTTAAATTTCATAAACTTATTATTTACTTCTAATGCAATTAAACACATCGGTCTTGAAGATATGACTCTGTGTCGTATTGGATTCCACCATTCAACCATTTCAGGGATTAATTCTGCAGAATGTAAAATATTACTTTCTTTACAGTAACAGAATTTTTCTTCCAGGAAGTAGAAATTGACAGCTTGGTTCAAATTACTTACTGCTGACAACAGATAAAGCTTCTGTTAACTGGAAAACAAAGTAATAAAACTTAGTGATACAATTTTGAGCCATGACCTGCGTTATAAGTTTTTAACAAATTTGACATAATTGGTCTAAATACATTTAATTGTGATACACCAGCTTAAAAACGCAAAAGAATAAAACAATCTTTATTAATTAGCATAGTTAAACACAAATTCTGTGAAAAAAGATTCGCAATTTTTGTTGGTATAAAATTCCAGTGTTAAAGCAAAGTACAGCGTGGTAACATATCAGAATAAACAAAATATTTTGTTCCCTTTCTATTCATTTCTAGCCTTAACACACACACTCATATACGATCCTCAAAATGTCGTCTCCCCCAGACACGTAGATTCTCCTTAACAACTGTTCTATTCTAATGGACTTAGACAGGAAATTCATTGCAAGTATTTATACATAAACAGATGAACTACGCTTTGAGATTGATTATAATTGCATTCTTAATTTTACTCAACGATTATTAATATTTTTCGTGCCTTGTGCAGTACATAATCACGATTAATCACACTAACGAGGAATGTTTTCTGTTAAGAGACTTTCGTTGAGGCCTGTAAACTGAGGAAGATATTACAAAATTAATGAAGAAAATATTTTGACAAAAATTTGAATTTATTGCGTTCATTTGTTTACACGCAATTTTTTAAATTTTGTACTCCCAGAGAATACCAAGATATTGTTCTATGTGATTTAAATAACTTTTGTATAAAATGTATTATAATAAATAGTAGGATTTTACGTAGATGTAAATACGAGAAAATATTTTAAAATTAAACTTAAAAACAAAGAATTACTTCGATTATGAAGCTTTATGTTTAGATTCTTTAGTGTTTACTGACGTCGTCGAAGTAAACTATAAAATTGTCACAAAAGTAATGTTGCGTTTCAAAGTGTTTTGAATGTTCAGGGCTCAGCTCGACTCTTATAATACTAATCAAAGAATCATCCTATTATCCCATCATCTTATTAACTTAATTCATATTCGATTACAGCTACAAATCCAACTAGAGTTACAAACGCATGTAAGATTGAAAGAAAGTAATTAAGAAAATGTGTGGTTCCGAAACAGACGGGTTTCAATGATTTCAGAATGATCAAACACGGGTTATTAGTTAGGCGAGGCATAACATTAATGGGGGTATAATATTAAAATGCGTCTTGAAGACATAGTTTGTGGACTGGATTGAAATGATTTAGGACAAGGTTCAGTGTCCGGCACTCGCAAATACATTAAGTACCTTCAGGATCTGTAAGATGCAGTATATAATGACCACGTGAACGACTATCAGCTTTGTTTGAGCTAATGCTACTACTAAGTACTCTTAAGTCTTCTGTCGCCGAAATTAAACAACAGTTTTGTTGACGTCAAGAAATATCATCAACCTAGTTTAAATTACCACAGTAATAATAATAGCAGATTTAAATATATTACCATCCCCACAGAATAGTCTTATGGCTCTGGTAAGAAGTTCACAGGTAGTACAATCAAACAAAGTTGGATACTCAGTGAATGATACGCCATATGACAAACAAAGATAACACACGACAATGCTGTATTGTCACAACACATGGGTTAAGAGCATCAGACACTTTTTGTGAAGGAGGATACCATCATACCTGTTAACAAAATGGCTGAACGACTGGAGAGACAGAGAGGCAACATTACAGCCTGATCGACACGTGGACAACGCGGATATATGAAATGTCTTTCTAGGCTTCAGTAGAGCAGTGTACAAATAACAGATTATCAACTCAACAAGGAGAATAATTCGAACTTCTATAAGTTGATAATGAATATTTTATCTGCATGTCAGGAAAAGAGCACACACTTTTAATTGTATATCAATTAATCATATTCAGTTGGCAGAGAAGTGATGTGAAATATTTTAACTGAATTCGAAATACCCAGTAAACTTCTGAAGTTGAGTAAACGACATTATATTGGGCTAAAACAAAGAGTTGTCCTTAGAATACGTGATAAAGAAATCAGGGATATAACCGAATGACCCAGATCTGATCCTTGCAGTGACGGATTTATGCATAAGCGAACTAAACTACTGCTTAAGTTCTCACGATAAATGTTAATGTGTAGTTTTATACTGCAATCTTTGTGCACCAATGGAAGTATAAATCTGTTATTCAAATCAGTCTGTGTTTATTTATTAATATTCTCCTCAGTCAGAATAACGATTTCGACTTTCGAATTTTTGTTTTGGGACGCTTAAACTAGACACAGCTTAGGGCATCGAAAGGTCAAAGACCGGTCCTTGATACTTGTCTATGCTGATTACGTTAATTTGTGTGGAAAGGAAAAAAGGTTCCTTTACACGCCAGAAATAATGTAAGTCAAACTCGACCTCGAAACATCCCTGACAATTATATATAAATAAGAATCATGATGAAATTAGAAAAAGAAATATCTCTGAAACTTTCAAATAGAAATTTAAAAATATATTATTTATCTATGTGTTGATCTATATTCTGCCGATGTACTGTCATGTAGTAAGTCGTCACTTAGCGTTATCTAATTGTTTGCTACACGAAAGTCAGTTTAAGTGGAGAAGGGCTTAGATAAATCCACACCAGGCTCCTTCTCTCTAGGTGTCCGAGATTTGAATAATTCGTATCACTTACACAGCGTCTTCATGATTGGGAAGTACATAGAACACTACGATTTCGGTCACAGTTGTGACAGAAAGAGAAGTTCTACGCTAATATAAATCATCCTTCAGTATATACTTATTACAATGTATCATCACTTCAAAATTATCTTTTGAACTGCATCTCTAATCTAAAATTTCTTCTGCGGAGTGAATAACATTATAATTTGTGTAATCAAGCTGTTCGTCGTGTGTAATTTTAACTTATGAACCGTTTTCTGAGCCATATTAATTTATTTATCGATATTATTTAAACAAGATCTACCGTTATCGATTTTGTCTATCGTCAAAATAACATTGTGTCGCCGAAGACCGACCCTTAAAAAGCCAGGATTATACTTCACATGTCGACAGTCACTGAGCTAGACAAATACTTTGTCTGAAGTATTATAAATACATAAATAAAATAAATAAACCCAGATGCACGAATAACAAAACTACAACGGTTTTTCGTTAGCCCCTCTGACCTGCTACAACATAGCACGACCAACGTTAGGCTTTGATCGATTACACCAGACACTGCGAGATATTTGGTCGATTCAACAGCATGCGAGATACGTGGTCGATTCTACAGAATGCGAGATACGTGGTCGATTCAACAGAATGCGAGATACGTGGTCGATTCAACAGAATGCGAGATACGTGGTCGATTCAACAGAATGCGAGATACGTGGTCGATTCAACAGAATGCGAGATACGTGGTCGATTCAACAGAATGCGAGATACGTGGTCGATTCAACAGAATGCGAGATACGTGGTCGATTCAACAGAATGCGAGATACGTGGTCGATTCAACAGAATGCGAGATACGTGGTCGATTCTACAGAACGCGAGATACGTGGTCGATTCAACAGCAAAGAATCTTCCTCAATGGTAGATTTTGATATTGGCGGTCTTAATTCTTTAGTTTCTGCTACAATAATTTTATTTAGTCACTAATGTTAATCAACAAAGCAAGTGAGTGGAACGCGTTCTTTCTTGAGGAAAAAACTTTTTATTTTGTTAACTATCGATTCAAACGTAATGTGAAAATAATTTAATAAATTCTTCCCAATTGTTTGTTACTACTCATGCGACAAGTTTTTCTTTTATTCTAGCGAGGACTGGTACAAAGACCATCCGAACTTCAAGGTGCTGTACCACGACGCTGATGGTGACGGGAAGAAAGACTTCGGGGATCGGAGGATTTTCGATCAAGTCAACGTTAACCAGAAGAGTGGATGAAAAGTTGAGGTAGTGATTAGACCGAACAGTTCAATGTCGCCAGCAATTTCACTGAAATAAATCAAGTGTCGATCAAAAGAATAATTTCGATGCTTATCGCTCGGCTCGGGAAACCGAGGTCGAACGAATCATTCAAGGTCATATCCCGGCCCTTCCATTTTCATTCGAAACCAGATCTCAACAGCGACACCGATGACTGTTATCTGCAAAGTTGCGTCCTAAAAGCTCAGTGAAATTCAAATACATAACAAACAAAGGAGCATCAGTGAACATTACGACGAACAACTGAAGATGAAGTGATGTTGATTTATGAAAGATATTAAGTATTGTATTTTTTATTAAATATTTCTTGGTTAATGAACCTATTGTCTGACAGATTCGTGCATTTTCAGGAAAACACTCTAAGAGTATAAATTACGCAAATATTGGTAATACCTATTTAGCCGCAATATTAATATTTTACGAAATTCTGGAGGTATAAAATGGGGGGAAAATGGTAGAACGACAGAAAACAGTTTTGAGAGTCTGATATCGAAATCGGATTTGATCAAAACGCAAAATAATCTAATCCTTCTAGTAACATAAATATTTTAATCTAAGCAGCTAATGAACACCACGAAGTAATATTTGAGATAGTTATTCAGCTGGTAAAACCATACCCCGTCTTTTATATAACCTAATGGCTCTTTACCGTACTAGGAAGAATCCTCCACTGATCCTATTGCAAAGATTTGCTTTTAATTTAATTTTTGTATGGTAGTACGTGATTGCTGTGGGGTATTGTTTACATGGCACGCCTTATACATTCCTTATTGTTAGACTACTCACTAACTACGTCCCTGAAATTGTCAAGGAAGTAAATATTTCTTCTAACGTCTGTCCTGGCGAAAACAGAAACCATACAGTGTTACCAGATTCTTTGTAAACGTAGCTGCTAATAAGAAATTCAACAAAGTTTTTCAATACTTTTCTGTTCTCTGATAGGGACTAATTAAAAGTAATTTTAAAATTTCTACACGAAACTGATGCAACACTACAAATGTACCGGAAAATATTTGAGAACACTTAATTTACCTTCAAACACGTTCATAATTCATATTTGCTTACACGTGTCCTTTATGAAATTATTTTTTAAACACATTTAATAATATTTTAATAATATTACTAGTTTGCGCTTCGATATTAAATCATATGTTCGGTCTGTTTTTGAGCATAATTTGAACAGATTTAAGACTTATTAACCAGTATAGAACCTCGACCCACGTACCTTCCAAATCGAACTACGAAAGGTTGGTCATAAGTTACTGTTTGGGACGAGAATGGTGCTAGATAAATAATATATTAGGAAAGCATAACGTAACAATTCTGAAGCGTTCGCGGTGTTATTCCGTCTAGATTTCTAATTTTTAAGTGTAAATTTTAATATCTTAATAACAGCTTGAAATACGAGAAACGCTCTCTAATACAAAACTGATCATTAAAAAAATACATTTTCTCATCCAGGAAACGTTTGTAAATTATTTTTGTTTTCTTATTTAGACATACGCATTATATAAACTGCAACACAGTTTCCGGGTTGAAATAATCAATTTTCTTACGGAAATTTTATTGTACTGAAGTTCTTCCTGGATCATTAAGACTTCTATATGAGAACATGCTTACGTTTAAAGCTGTCACTTCAGTCTAATTTTCTGATTAAAATATCCGTAACTTAAAATCTATAATTAGGCTATGTTTCTTTGTTTTACGCGCTGTTTTAAGGATATCCGTTAATAATATTCAAAGAATTCACATATTTTGTTTATAGATGTGAAAGACCGGGCCCTAAAGTGCGTCATAGTCACTTCATTCATGTTCATTTCTCATTATTATCGATCTTTTGAAAACTAAATTAATTTCTTTGTATCAAAAATTGGAATGTATAAACTACTTTATTGCAATACATTCAAATTGAACAATACGTTTTATATAACACAAAAATCTCTTCTGCTGGATATCAGAAGCCGGTATTTACCTTGTACCGTAACAGATTTAAAAATACATGTGAGTGTAAAATCCTGCGAAACTGAGAAAATAAACATGTTGACAGAAAAGGCATTGCCTGCTTCAATGTACAGTTGGCCCGAGAGAATCTTTTTTCAAGAAGAAAAATTCAGATTGACAATTTATTTATTTACAATAAAAAATATGTATCAAAGAAGCTTACTGACTTCATAATCAGGGCGATAATGATGATGATCCTGATGACGGAGGCTCAGCAAGGACCTCTAAAGCTACGCGGCGCTACAACCCAGATGACAGCCATCTTCCAACTCACCGCCCTGAGCACCTCAGATCCTACCTTCTCGGGCTTGTAGCCTATGTTCATGTACCACCCTCTTCAAAACAAACAACTTTGGTCATGGAGCCATTCTTCTATCGTGCCTATTTTCCGAGTTACAGGAAAGCACTCACCGGGAATCGAACTCGGGACATTTTATCGGAGTTTTTCAAGGACTAATTATGCCAAGCTTGGTGAAAATCAGCTTGTCTGTTCTCGAGGTGCAATGGAGCCCGGTGGGCACTGTTTCTCTACTGATAACAATTTTATCTTCCCCCCACTGCCCTCTCTTACAAATTAATTCGTGTTCGCCGTGAAAGTCTTCATTGATTTCAATGAGAGACGTAGAACAAAGCAGGTCGTGTGCCCACAGATCACAGTTTACTACTCGACCGGTCACGATATTTTTCTCATCCTTAATTACGTCACAGAAAACATGTCAAGGAAGTCACGTGCCTGACGCAGCTGTGGCAAGATGTCGCTTTCTAAACGTGCTCCATCCTACAGTTCCCTTTGCATATACGAATTACATGTGTGGCGAAAATGTTTATTCCCGCGTCCACATTTTTGCATATAAAAAAAAGCCATATTCTTTCTGAATTATTGATTTTACTGTAGAACACGTGGTTTTAGAAACATAAATCTTGTATTATTAAAAATACCACTGTTCCCACAAAAATAACAGAAAATGGGGAAAATTATATTTTTTACATTAAAATCATAAACCATTGTTAAAGTATTACTTTTCTGGTACAAAGTTTTTTGTTTTATTCTTTCAGATACTTAATAAATTATTGAGTGTTATAAACTGTATTAATAGTGCAAAAAACTGGCATTTTAAAATTGTTAAATTATTTTCCAATTTTTGAATTCTTTTACTTTGCCTAAATATCCATTCTCTGTACGTCAGAAATTTAGTACTGCAGAAAATTTTGAACAGAAAATCTCAAATCTTACAATCTAATCAATTATTTGTTTTAATCCGTCTGATCACAATATAATTTTTATTTAAAATTCTCTTATAATTAAGATAATAAAATAAATTTTGAACAGAAAATCTCAAATCTTACAATCTAATCAATTATTTGTTTTAATCCGTCTGATCACAATATAATTTTTATTTAAAATAAATAATTGATATAATATTCACAATATGACGCAATTAAACTATCTTACAATCCAATGTGATTGAGGACAGCGATTTCTATCACCGTGGATAAATCGCTCGAAACACGAAGCCATCCATCTAACTTTTTTCATTTTATCGTCGAAGCAATACATCATGAAAAATAACAATTAAGCCCAGAGGCGATTATAATAGTTTGTTATTCAAAGCCTGACATTGTCCAATGTCAAATTAATATTACGTCTGTGTAATATAATGAAGGCTGAGCGGAGCGTAAAAAATTGCTAAGTCTCACAGTCAATTAAAATGTCTGTATAAATAAGAGATTCAAGCAAAGAGAAATAATTATGAAAAACAAACATGAGGACAGAGATGTTATAAATAATGCTCCTGAAGAGTTCTGGAACAAGCGGAATAGACTCATGTTCGTGACGTCACCACTTTGTAAGTGTTAAAAACAGCGTGACTGGAAGGTTAACCTGTCTTTTATTTTCATTTTTCTAGAATCTCTTTGGATTCTCCACAACGGACATATGAAGGTCACGGACAGGTACAGACATTCTACAAGAGAAATTCTAAACAAACAACGAACGACGGAGGCGTATTCCTGGCGTTTCACGGACATGTGCCCTCAGCACCAGTTTTAAGCATTTTATAGCAGTCCTATTTCGGCCAGATATGGCGTATTATTACGTTGTAGGTTTCATATATGTTATATACTCTTATTAGTTCCTTATTACAACGCTTCGAATGAGAAATTTAAGACCAGTGGTAACTATACGTACCACCTGATTTACACAGTTAATAACTCTGCGTTTTATATGTATGGGTTTCGTATGATTCTCAGTGTAAACACGGATTATTTCCTTAAACAGCGTTAACCAGTTGGCTTTTGTAATGGTGAAATGTTGTTTTCTTCGCGGTACGGACTGATTTATTAAATAGTATTTAGACGAGCTTCGGCTTCAAAGGGTTAACCAGCTGATTTTCGTAATGGTGAGGTGTAGTGTTTTCTTCGCGGTACGGACTGATTTATTAAATAGTATTTAGACGAGCTTCGGCTTCAAAGGGTTAACCAGCTGATTTTCGTAATGGTGAGGTGTAGTGTTTTCTTCGCGGTACGGACTGATTTATTAAATAGTATTTAGACGAGCTTCGGCTTCAAAGGGTTAAATACAGTATTGTAATACAGTAGATAATTTCGACAAACCTTAAGAACTATTTGTGAACTATTTGTTACACAAATGTTTCTTAAATATTCATGTTAGAAGCACTTTGAAGAATATCGTCGGTTTAACCTTCAGTATCCAGGAAAATTCGTGAACTGTTACCCAAACTATCTGCATTGCTTTGTAGTACGTGTGACTATAGTTTTCTGTGATGGTTTCATTACTTCCTTTTGCTGTTAATATTATTTCTATTTAAATGCTACTACTCTTAATATAATTAGTATCATATAACGAATCCCACTCTATGTGTAATATATTAAAGGAAATCTTCGCACCTAACCTGGCATAACACCCGTTAACTCTTGACTTCTGCAGATATTAGAAGAAAATATTACATACAACAATATTTTCCTAAAGTTTTGTAGTATTATGATATTAATATTTTGTTTTTAATTGAGAAATATATAACGAGAGACGTTTCAATCATTTGCCTGCTTCTACGTAGATCTGTAGCTGATATTTGAGATTTCAAACTGGAAAATGGACGTAAAGTGTAAAGGTGTGGTTAAAAGATTAGTACGTGTATTGACATATCGTAAAATGCTACAATTAATATCATTGCATTATTCTGATAAATAATTAGTAAAAAAAATTGTAGACGAGTTGCAAATACCTTCTTTTAAAGTGATATTCACATACGTTCGAAACTAGACTGGAAAGGAGTACGATTTGTAGCAAGATAGAATTCCCTAGGATGATATTTACAAATCTAATCAAACAAATGTAATTTAAGGTTATGTTTGTAATTGTGTGATAAAAGACGCGGCAGGCAGACAGACAGACATTGACGAGGAAATTAAGTGTTATTCGCTTAAGATTTGGCATAAAGAATAACTAAGTACGCATTTTGAAGGACGTTGAACTTCTGTTCCATTAAGTTTTATTGTTGACTACGGAAAGTGTACAAAATCACAAAATTATCCTCGATCGAGAAAGGTGATGTTCACGACTGGTGGGAAGGGGGACAAAGTGGGAATTAAGGTTGGTAAGACGGAGAGAAAACTTGCAAAAGATTAAAAGTATATAAGAGTTAGAGGGGAAAAGAGAGAGGCTAAACCATGTGTTTCAGACAGCCGAGTCGCAAACAGTAACTCCAACAGTGCCGGCCGCAACACGTCTCTTGTAACCATGACTACGTACTGGACGCTCACAGTTACGTTCCTAGCAGTGACGGTCCTGTCAACAGGTAAGTTGATGAAGAAATAAAACTTATTTTTATACCAAATTTATTTTAAACAAACAGTACAAATGTACCAGCACAAGTTTGTTTTCGATCGATATCGTCTTAGCTATAACAACTTTCTAGAGTTTAACTCCGTTACAAACATTTGCTTAAAGGAAGATTTTAAACGCTTCTGTTAGTCAACTGTCTTTAACATTTAACTGAAGGCATTGTGACATTAGGTCGCACAGTAATCGGGCAAAGGTATCTCGTCACCAGTATACAAGACATATTCATAATATAATCAGAAATAATAAGACATTCGAAAATTTAGTGATGTTTAAGTATTTGGCAAGGACGGTACCAATTCAGACACACATTCACGGAGAAATTGAGAGTATGTTAATTCTGGGGATAGCTTGCTATTATTCAGTTCAGCATCTTTTGTATTCCCGTCTGCTATCTGAATACGTAAGGATTAAAATATAATTTAACTTGCCATTTTATGTTGTCGTGAAAACTTGGTCTCTTACAAATGGAGAACACATTAAGGATGTTTGAGAAAAGAATTATTGGGACACTATGAGACACGACGTAACAGGAGGCTGGAGAACACAGAGTAAAGAGGAACTTCTAATGTGTACTGTTCTCCGAATGTTACTAGGATAAACCAAACAAGGAGGATAAAATGTCTGTAGCATGTGATTTGCATAAGAAAGATTAGAAACTTGTGTAAAACTTTCTTCAGTAAACTTAAATGGATAAGAGAGTTTGAGAGATCACGCTGTAGACGGAATAATTTAGGGGAAGAGACTGGTAGAATGTGAACTGGATTCATCTGGCTGCAGGTAAAGACCACAGGAATAAATCTTAGAATTCTAAAACAAACAGAAAATGTTCTGACTATCAAATCTAAAAGTTTTTGACGATGGTGATGAGTCATTAGAATAAGAATTTTCTTGTATATTATCCATCATCTAGTAAATAAAATATAAAACGTAAAAACGACGTTTCGGAGATGGGGCTCTATCTCCGAAACGTCGTTTTTACGTTTTATATTTTATTTACTAGATGATGGATAATATACAAGAAAATTCTTATTTGAATGTTCTGACTAGCTCTCAAAACAATTGTGGTCCATGCAGTTAATTACACAGTTGAAACTGCACAATCATTTTCGTTTCATTTTTAATTTGCATGTATAATTCTGTAAGGCAATTGAGATTGTGTGGCCGTTCACTGAGATGTGTGGACAAATAAAAATGTTGCGACCAGGCGTACGAAATATGTTAAATGACGCTGAAGGGAAACGTACGGATAAGCTTGACAAACAAGTATAGGGCGTCGTTACGTATGGCAGAATAACTAACCGTGGGTGTCCTGGAGGAGTTGAACTGCGAGTTGCAAGAGACACGACGAGATACCGGAGTGGTAGGACGAGATAAGTAAGTACCTCAACGAGAGAGAAGCAACTCAACGCGGCCTTCCAGTAGCATATCGTGAGTTGGAGACGACTGGGGGCGGTAGAAAACCGTACAGCTCATAGGAACGCGAGGACCACAACGGACATGGTTAACCCACCGAAGTTCGATGGATCCTCGACAAAGCCCCACCTCGAATGATCACTAATGAACTTTCAGTAAGTGTCTCGATGCCCCAGCCAACTGTGGGAATTATCTAATGGCTGCCTGACCGTGCACTCACCGACGGAGTGACAGGACTAGATAAGAAGAAGCATCTGCTCATGGACGTCGATAAGTCGTTTAACGAGGCCTAAACCAAGTCCTGCGTAAGAAACAGCTTCACTACGAGTGAGAAATGACGAGGCCTTCTAAATGAAAGAGTCAGCCATCAGCGAGTAGTTGCTTATTAAAGCAAGACCCTATCCTGGGATAAGATCTATTGACTAATTTGACAGAATTACTCAATTAAATAAAAATTTTCTTGGATATTATCCGTCTAATAAATATAAAACGTAAAACGACGTTTCGGAGATGGGACTCTATCTCCGTCTTCAGGTTCCTACACAGTTGGGCCCACTAGATAGAGCTAATCCCTATCTCCGAAACGTCGTTTTACGTTTTATATTTA